AATTTGAATTTTCTACGAGAAACCTGCAAAAGGAGAATTTTTTCACGCAGATTCACAATTTCAATACCCAGATTGATTATTCTGTGGAAAGCAGATGACATGAAATTTATTTTCACATAACTACTTTTAAACCTCGATTATATTTCTAACGCTGCACACATACTTAATCAAAAAATTACCTTCAAAGAAAATGAGATTTAACGTAGAGAACTTCGTTTTTACAAATAAGGAACTTTTTAATTTTTTTGTATGCATCAACAACCATTTTGATAATCAGAAAAACCTGCAAAAACTTTCGAGTGAGAGGTAAAAAAAAGCCGCAACAAATAAAGTAGCTCCACCCGTTGAATTTTCCAGTGGAAGAGGTCGTGTATAATGAGTCCACGCGATCAAACAAGGATACTGGACTGTCCTGGTTGAGTCGCGTCTCATTCGATTGAGCTGACGTTTCGGCCATCGTGTTGTGGCATTCTTCAGAGCTATACTGCTGATACTTTGAAGACGTCCCCGAATGATGACCGAAACGTCAGCTCAATCGACTGAGACGCTGCTCAACCCGGGCAGCCAAGTACCCAAATGACTCCGGCCTAAGCGGAAGCCTACGAACACATCTAAGAAACAAGTTTGTTTGCATCGTGTGGAGCCGCAGCCAGCCACCAGCTGATCGCACGGCCACAAGGTCAATGCTACGCGGCCAACGGAACCCACCTCGCGGTCTTTCGCTTTCGAGTCACGCAGCCGCCAAGGCGAGTCTTCCTCGTCGAACACTCGGGCGCCGAGCGGGCGTGAAGAATTAATTATACGTACAATTACGCCATGCTCGAGTAGTAAAAGAATCGACGAGGAAAGTGGTGCACGAGCTTGGAAAGGAACGGTGAACGACAGAAATGTTACACTTGTATCATTCCCTCCGAGGAAAAGGTTTTATATTGGGCTAACGTTTACTTTTCACAAAAGGAAAGCGACACACCGCAAAAGGTGTCTTTCATGTGGAGAAAGGTTTTACCTGAGCGATCTAAAGACGATATTTTACTCTACGTACCGGCTGTCTAGTGAAATATCTTCATTAAATATCAAATAAAGTAAGCATTTTTTACACATTCTTTACTTAATTCAAAAATATCGATTTTTGGTGATCTGCTGTTTCAAAATGACAAGATTCTAGCTGCCATTTTTTTGACAAAACGTAGTACGTGATAGAACTCTTTCAGATCTAGAACTTACTGAGACGTGTCAGGTATGTACAAATCATACTTCTGTGAAGAAAATGGAATAGCATTTTGCCTTTCATTATTGTACATCTCTTAAACTTTCAATTTTAATACTACCTTAATGACAGAACTGTTGGCATGCTTAAGACATCGGTATGTGACGCGGAAAACGTAAACTGGCTGCCTGGAGGCGAAGCATCTTGTATAGAAACACCAGCTGATAATAGGTTCGTGTTGAATCTTTGCAGCTGCACACCTGAAGAGATGTTTGAAGTATCTTTTGTCGGCGGCAGTTTTTCCAATCGCAGATTATCTGTGATTCATACAAGTGTGTGCATGAGAATGCATGCTTATTTAAGTAATTTTGTCCAAGTATCACAAGTGAAACATCCTCTGATACATTGTCTCCTTACTCCGACAGAGGACAAGAGTTCGACATCACCTCTGCCGTTTGAAAACTCATTGTCCGCATTGTATCATTCTCTTTCTACAAAATTCGGCCATAAAGTTAGTAATTATAACCTTTCACTGAATACACGTTTATTAAGAAACAATAAAATATTGGCGAGATTATTTTGAAAAAACGTCCAAACGTTGTCATAAGTTAAAATGTTTATATATCGAACGTGACTGATTTGATGATATAAAAGTACGTGACTTGTAAGAGAAGATAAAAAGTGCGGCGGAAGGGGGGGGGAGACGAGAGGAAGAGAACGAAAGGAAAATAACCTCTGGCGGCTTATTTTCCCCTTCTCTTGAAACACAATGAAGTATTGCCAAACAGAACAGTAGGTCACGATGAAGATGGTCATATAGAATTCGAGCGATCGAAATGCCTCTTATCGACGGGAAGCACACGAGCCGCCACGTGAGGCACGAGGCGCGTCCGCATTGGATGACTGCGCGGGCGTGTAGCGCTGGCCGCTAAGGCCGGTGGGCGGCGAATGTCGCGGTCATGGCCCGTGGGAGGGGGAGGGGGAGGGGGCTGGGGCGAAGCGAGCGCCCGCACAGATAAGCCGGCTGGCGGGGACGGCGGCGGCAGCGGCGACGCGCGGAGCAGGTAGGTCGGGGGCAGGCGAGGAGATACAGTAGCTGAGCGTCCTTTGGTTAATTCGCGCACATTCGCACACAGGCGCACACAGTTTCCGCGCCCCGGCTTCTTTCTCACTTTTACCTCTTTGTGCGGGGAAGAGTAAGTTACACCAATGTAAAGATCACCGATTTGGGGTTTCAAGTCTGTACCCGCGCATCTAATTATGTTTTTCTTTATATTTTGCGAAATTTTGTTCATTTAACGTGTGACTTGTCTATTTCCTTTCAGTCTTCTCTACTGTCTCCTTGCGGCGGTAATATTTTTCTACTTGTAATATTATTTATTTAAAATTTTTTACTGACAAATTATATAGAATACACAAATAAATGAAAACCGCACAATTAATGCATACTATGCCGCAGATATAATTTAGAGCAAAACAACGGAGAACTATGACTGGCAAGTGTAATAACGCTAGATGATAGATGGAAAATAATTTTTTAATAAATTTCACTGTCAGGCCCTTTTCATTCATCATGCAGAAGGGACAGAATTATTGATTTGATCACGAACCATGAAGGTTTTCCAATTATCATTCCAAGCATACACGTG